AGGGCTCCAGTGGGGGGAAAAGGTAGGTGAGCATCAGACTAGAGCAACTCTAAAACCAGTTAAAAACATTAGTATTGTTAGGATTTTGTTTTTAAATGAGTGAGCACTGAGTGTTTCTGAAGTTAATAATAAAGTACCTACTTTATATATATATACTATATATAAAGTACCTACTCTGAAGAAGTACGTATGTCCTAATCCTTACAAATCCTTAGGAGGTAGGTGGCACCACCCCCAATTCCAGATGAGGAAAAAGAACTTCAGAACAGTCAGTAATTTGCCCTGGATTGCAGAGCTATTAAATGGCAGGGCTGGTACCGAGATCCTGACTCCAGTATTCATGCTCTTCCCTTGCAACCGCTCTTAGCTGGGGCTCCTTCTTGGAAGCACATATGAAAACATATTTGACTAGTGATTTTCTCAATGCTTCCAAAGGGTTGTGTGTGTGTATGTATATGTACACACACACACAACACACACACACACACACACACAGAACCATTTTAGATGCCTGGGAGAGAAGTTAATTCCCATGTACAATGGATACCTTGGAGCATGAGGGCTCAACTCTCTGGAGAAACCCTGGCCAAGAAGGACCGCCATGATTAGAGAGATGTTTTAGGAAGATGGCTCTGCCAGTGGATCACATTGCTGAGAGGACCTGGTTGCCAAAGCAACAGTCCTGGAAATACCAAGATGAGTCAGCTTCAGGCACTTGAAGTGGGAGGCTCCGGCCACCCTCCCTGGTCACTCCTCTTTATAGTCCTACTGCCTTTTCCCTACCTCTCTCCCTCCCTCCAACCACACCTGCATTCAAGTGTTGAAGCAGAGCCTTCCTGCTGCTAAGCCATCAACACAGGCAAAAGCAGCTGGTTCAAAGGTTAAAAAACACAGGGGTCTCTGTCTCAGGTTGGGAGTAGAAGATTGGCACTAGTTAATTCAAAACCCTTCTGGAGAACTCTGGCAAACTCCTATTAATCCTTCCTGACAAGGCTTAAGCACCCCCTCCTCTGGGAAGCTTTCTGTAACTGATTCCACCTCTCTGATTACCAGGCAGAAGAAAGCATTTCCCTGTTCATCCCCAGAGCCCTTTGTCCAGGTGCCTGCTACAGCACCTACGACATTATTACGGCTGTTTCCACAACTGTCTCCTCTGACAGTATGAGAGCCTCTCAGGGTCAGTGATGGTTTGCCTGATCTGTCTTAGGATTCCCTGAGGCCCATGGTCTCAGAGATGGCAACTGGCTTGTCCAAGGGTCACTTGACAGGGCTGAGATTTAAATCCAGGTGTGACTTCAAAGCTTGTGTTCTTTTTCACTATGCTATGGGGTCTCCCGAAGATGACGTGATGTTAAGCAGTCTGTGCTAAGCTGTACAATGCTGTACAAGTTTGGAGAAGGAAGTATCAGAGAGACCAGATGACCAAGAAAGGCTTCCTAAGAGAGGGAGGCCTTGAAAAGTCTGAGGATTCAGATAAGAAAAGAGGGAACATGATGGCACTTTAGGCAGGATGGGAATGTTGTAGAGAGACACAGAATTAAGAGGCCTTAAGGTAAGAGAAAAGGTTCCATACTGGGGAGGCATGGCATTAGAGCTGCCAGAATGAGAGTTGGATTTCTTTATATATGTCACAATGAAAACTACTTATAGCAGACCACCTACCATGTACCTGCCAGAGGCTTTTGCAAAAATTACCACCAATCCTCAGGCTATCCTTGTGAAATGGGTGTTATTTTAGATGTATGAAAACTGAGGCTTAGAGAATTAAGGCAACATGTCCAGGGTAACACAGCTAATAGGTGGGGAAGCTGGGATTCAAACCCAGGTTGGCCTGATTCTGAAGCCTGAGGTTCCCTTTCTATTACTCCATGCCACCTCCTAATGGACCAGAGGGCTTTCCACATTATCAGCCTGATGCTTCTGCCTGAACCTCCTCCAAGCTCAAATGGGGACTTCTGGTCAGACAACGAGCAAGCGCAGCTGACTTTTCCAGCTCTAACCCTCTAAGATCTAGGGACCCTAAATATCTGAGGACTGAGTGATTGCAAGGTAACTGTTCTGTGTGGGCCCTATGAGCACAGGCTGGCCTCTGTGTTTAGACCTGCTTTGGATCTCGCAGAGAGAATCTCCCTTTGGTTATTGTAGCAAAGCTGGTAGCAAGTACAACCTAAGAAAGCTGGATGGGGCCAGGTGCGGTGGCTCATGCCTGTAATCCCAGCACTTTGGGAGGCCAAGGCTGGAGGATCACCTGAGGTTGGGAGTTCGAGATCAGCCTGACCAACATGGAGAAACCCTGCCTCTACTCAAAAGTACAAAATTAGTCAGGAATGGTAGCATGTGCCTATAATCCCAGCTACTAGGAAGGCTGAGGCAGGAGATCACTTGAACCTGGAAGGCAGAGGTTTCAGTGAGCTGAGATTGTGCCATTGCACTCTAGCCTAGGCAACAAGAGTGTAACTCCATATCAAAAAAAAGAAAGCTGGATGGGCAGGAAGGTAGGCTCCCTTGCCTTCTCTGAAACCCTTTGGAGAGGGTCAGTTGAGGTCAAAAGACTTTGAAAATATTACTGGCAACAGTCCCTGGAATGATAGAGCAGGATCCTGCCTCTCGGTTGGCTGGTCACACACACAGGCAGACCAAGGGAGGTCAAGGGGGAAGGGAGGTCAGAAGTTGGCAGCCTGCAGGCCCTGAGTGACGGCAACTTGTTCAGGGTTGGGAGGGAGAAATAATGGGTTAATGGTTTTGGCCCTTGAGGCTGGGAGGCTAGGGCAGGGGGTGTAAATAGATGCTGGCTAAAAAGGCAGGTGGGAGAAATGTAAAGGTGGGGGCTAAGGGCATCTGTTCCAAGTTAACAGGCAGGAACCATGCCCCTGCAACAGCTCAAAGGGACAGCCTTGGCCTGAGGGGTGAGGATGGAGCGAGTTTCATAAAAGGCCCTCGTCTTTTCATTTCAAAGGTGTTCGATCTAGAAGGCTAGGAAGAGGGGCTCCTTATAAAGGGAATTCTCTGTCTGAGGGCTGGGAGGAAGCAGAGAATGCAAACTACTGGACAATAGCTGGGAGTATTGATTGATTTTTAAGTCATGACAGAGAGAAAGTCTTTGGTGAGCACTCCCATACATAGCTACAAATATCTTGTCACAGAGCTTCCCAATGGACAAAGGAAGCAGCATTCTGCTTGGGGACATTTTCTAAGTCTCTGCTTCTGAGAGCAGCAAGTTCTCCCTCCAAAAGCATCAGTCATCCCAAGTACTGCTGCCACATCCACAGACAGTCCTGCCCTTCAGTGGCTGTGCCCCGGACCAAAGCATATTCTGGTGGCTCTGGGGCAGACTTGCGGGTACAGGCCAGGCCTGGGTTTTAAGCTAGCGTGGCTGACAGTAAGTAGCAAGATTAGGTGTTTATTTCTAAGAAGTCCCCAGAAGCCAATCAGAAGATGATCTGGGGACACTGGGCCAGTGGAGGAAAAGGCTCTGGGACTGAAAGAACGTTCTTTGAAGACTGGTTTTGAAAAAGTGATTAGGTAGTAAAAGACAGTTGGCATAAGTTACAGAGAAGAACACAGCTCATTAAAAAGATGTTTCAACCACAGCCAGGCACGGTGGCTCATGCCTGTAATCCCAGCACTTTGGGAGGTTGAGAAGGGCAGATCACCTGAGGTGGGGAGTTTGAGACCAGCCTGACTAAAAATACAAAAGTAGCCGGGCATGGTGGTGCATGCCTGTAATCCCAGCTACTAGGGAGCTGAGGCAGAATTGTTTGAACCTGGGAGGCGAAGGTTGTGGTGAGCTGAGATGGCCCCATTGCACTCCAGCCTAGGTGACAAGAGCGAAATTCTGTCTCAAAAAAAAAAGTTTCAACCAGTCAGAGATGATGTAGTAAAATGAGCTTACCTACCTGGGAAGAAGCAGGGTTCCTTCTGTCTCTGACAAAAAAAAAAAAAAAAAAAAAAAAAAAGTCAGCTAGCTAGCTGTGGAGAGAGTTCTGCTGGCAGAGAGGCAGGCAATCATCAGAGTGGCCCAGAGACCTTTGAAGACCCTTCCACTTCTCAGGTTCTATGAAGAATAATTCCAACAAAGAAGACCCTGGGATCTAGCCCCAAGAGAGGATCCCTGGCCCCCAAAAAGCAGCAGAAGGGTCATGAACAGGTAGTCATGTGTCATACAGTGCATGTGTCACTCAGGGGCCTGTGCCCCACACATCCTGGCAAGATGCTTCCCACCCTATCTCAAGGAGAGGCTGGAGTGGGACATGGGGAAGTGAGAGAAAGTGACTGGGATGTATCTGGCAGGTAACACTACCAGACCTGGACAGGACTTGCCCAGCCTGAGTCTGGGGATACCATACATTGTCCTTCCAATTAACTGATGTTCTCCCAAGGGAGGGTATTCATTATTCAACAAATATTCATTGAGTGCTTACTAAGTGCCAAGTACATATAGTAGATGCTGGGGACACTTGAACAAGTCAGTCATGGTTGTTGCCTTTTAGAAGAACAAGTTAGGAAGAAGGCTATTGAACAATTTCAGGTTGTGACATGTGTTATGACAGAAAAGAGTAGGGTGCCATAACCCAGAGTAATGGAAGGGGCCTGAGACTCAGACGGGACCAAGGAGGATGTCTTTGCGACTTGGGTTAGTAGGGATTTAAAGAGCCTCTACTTTGTTTCATTAGCTCTGCTTTAGAGGTCACAGAGGAGAAGAGAGAACACTTTTAGGGATAGAACAATCAAGAAAACTCTCACAGTATATGCAGACAGGCAGGATGGCATGGTGTATCACACACACAGGTAGGCAGAGAACACACATCAGCCACAGGAGGGCAAACCACCTGTGTGCATGCCACTCTCGGCGAGTACTCTCCAGCTGCTCTCGAGGCATTTTTAGCTCTGGGAGGATAATGGGGCTCTGGGAAAGTACATATTTCCAGAATAAAGAGGCTGCCAAGTACTCTCTCCCCACTGCCAAACCCCACCTCACCCACCTCCACCTCTGCTCTCACCTCCATCAAGCAGCTCCTTGACAGTGCGGTAGTCATCAGCAAGGACAGCATAGTGTAGGGCTGTGCAGCCCTTGAAGCTGGCACGATTGTTCAGCCTGTTGTTGAAGTCATCCTCTCGGGTGACCAGGACTGGGGAGACAGTAACGCAAACCCTTCCATTAGCAATGAGAGCATGAGCCACCAATCTCACCTGTTTTCTCTTGGCATTTTAATTCATTCACTCATGCATCTGCCTACTTACTAAACATATAAATGGCACCTACTATGTTCCTGGCCATCTGTGCTGGGTAAGAAGGGGCAAAACAGAGGCTAGTTAGTTCCACAATGTTTACTGACATCTGTTATCTGTTAGGATTCATCCTGGGGACATGAAATAGATCAGATAAGGTCCCTGACCTAACTGAGGAGGGAGGAAGACAATAACCAGATGTTTATAGAACTGTTTGAGATAAATGTTCTGTTAGAGGTATAAGAGGAGAATATACTAGAACGCTAGAGGAGAGTTTAGCTCAACCTGGGATGAAGAGAGGATCCCAGAAGACAGGAGTCTTAAAGGATGAAGGGAAGTTATGCAGGTGAAGAAAGCAGGCTAGGGTAGGATAAGGGAAGAGTGGGGCAGGAGACAGAGGCTGTTTTAGCAGAAGATTAATATACCTCTCTGCTCTGAAAATGTTTACATTCTGGTAAGAAATTAGTTTTAATTTTTAAAAATGTAAAACAATATAAAAGCAATTAAAATTTTAAAATCACAGAAAAGTTCAAAATAGAAAAGGGACTAAGATCTTAGGGACTGAGTAACTACATGTTAGATTTTGATATATGTTCTTCCAAGATTTCGTGTGTGTTTGTGTGTGTGTGTGTGTGTGTATTCCCTACAAAATTGGAATTTACTGTATATGCAATTTTGTAAACTGCATTTTTACCCTTAATAATTACCTATTAGAAAACAAAACAAAAACAGACAATAAAAAAATTACCTATAAACATTAAAAAATTCTTTTTAAATACTTTTTAACTTTCTACCCAAATCAAAAGGAGACCTACAGACATTTTTTTGAAAGACGAATAAGCATTTCATGTGGTCAAAGAACCAAAATCCCCCAGGCTCACTCTAGTGCTAATATTTGTGATTCTCTTACTCTAATTTGATATAAAATAATCTAAAACCAGTCCATCACTTTTCCAAGACTTTCTGGATTGGGTGACCCCACACACCCTGTTCACCCAGGGGGTCCTGGTTTGTATCTGTTGTTATAGACAGTTCTAGTTTGGACAATGAATTAGAATGTTACCCCACCTCTGGGGCCTTCCCTTAGGAAATGAGACCCCACAGAGCACTCTCTCCCCTGCTCAGGCAATGGAGCTTCTTTCTACCCCATGTGGAGGTTAACCAGGCAACTGGAAGTAGAAGCCTGGATGTCCTGGTCCCAGCCTTGGCTCTTATTCCATCCTGTTTTCCTGTTTAGGTGAAGGTGCAAACACACTCTCTTGCATTCCCTCCTGAGCTGAGTTTGTAGGGGTGGAATTTGGGTCCTGACTACCTGTATTCCTCTTCTCCCCAAGTCTACAGCATAGGATCTACTGAGGACAGGCTCCTCTTACCTCTCACTGGATAGAGGTACACTCAGTCAAGAGATGACTTTACTTACGTAATCAAAAGCACCAGACAATTTCTGAACCATTCTTTTTCACGTGGTCTTAGAATGGAGTCTATGCTTCTACCCCTCCTGGAATACTGAACATCCTATATAAAGTTCCAAAAGCCAGAAGAGTGTCATGCCTCTTCCTAATACTAATATATATTTTTTTGTTGTTGAGATGGAGTCTAAATCTGATGCCCAGGCTGGAGTACAGTGGCACGATCTGGCTCACAACAGCCTTCACTTGGGTTCAAGCGATTCTCTGCCTTAGCCTCCTGAGTAGCTGGGATTACAGGCACCTGCCACCACACCTGGCTAATTTTTCTATTTTTAGTAGAGAAGGGTGAACCATGTTGACCAGGCTGGTCATGAACTCCTGACCTCAAGTGATCTGCCTGCCTCAGCCTCTCAAAGTGTTGGGGTTACAAGTGTGAGCCACTGCGCCCAGCCATACATTTACTGACCTACTGCATGCCTGACATGGTCACTTTACACAATTAATCTTATTTAATTCTCATAAGTACCTTACATAGTAGGTAATTATTATTCCCATTTTATAGATGAGAAAACTGAGGCTTAGAGGTCACATAGCTAATAAGTGGTTGTCCTCACACTTTCTCACATATCATAATGTCACCCTCATTTTCCAAATAAGGAAATCAGAGACCAAGAAAGAAGTAGAACCTAGATGTCCTGGTCCCAGCCTTGACTCTTATTCCATCCTGTTTGGGTGAAGGTGCAAACACACTCTGCAGAACTTGCCCTTAAGAAAATGGCCTGAGGTTTATAGCTAGCACTCAGATAAGCTAGTGTGGGTGGAAGCATTTCAAATGTTTGGCCAAAATAAAGTTGGTGGAGTGTGCAGCTGGAGAACAGACAACACTCTCTTGTGGTTTATAGAATCAATGGTCAATGAGCCTTCTACTCTTGATATGGGCTCTCCAGACTGATGACCCGCCTGCTCCCGCCCCAGGAGTGTTATCTGACCTTTCCTGAAGCAGGAGGAACAGGAAGTTAAAAGGCCTCTAACATACAAGTCCCATGTGCAATGGCATCTACACTTTTCCCATCAGAGAGCCCTTTAGGACCTCAATCAGAGATTACTAGCCCTTAGTCACAGTCTTATCAAATCATGCTAGGTGATCTTATTTCCAGTCCACTGCAGATTAGGAGAAGGAAATAAGAAGGCCAGGGAGGATGCTACAGAACCAAGCAGATTGATTACGATCAAGCACTGGCCAGGCAGGCAGGGAAAAGAACAGGACAATGAAAAGCTGAAAAAGGAATTCAGAGTACAGCACCTCAAAAGCCCCTAAGGGCATCACTGAACTGCCACATAGGACATTAACTGCTGGATATAATGATGAACCTGACGAAAAGTGATAGTTGGCTCAAGAAAGCAAGAAAGGTGTAATCCATTTTACAAAGAAAACACATCATTCATTCAACAAACAACATTTAATGAGCACCAATGCAGGGTGGTAGTTCCTGGAGATATAATAATAAATTATACACAGTTCCTGACTTTCAGAAGCTAACAACCTAATGCAAGAATCAGACCACTGAGCAGACAAACGATAATATAATTTCACAAATGCAATGACAGAGCTATACACAGGTTGCTTACCATAAACAGCAGATAAACTAAAGGAACACAGCTGGGGCTATTTTGGTGCAAACGTCAGGAGACTGCCAGTGTCATAGCCCAGCTAATAAGGAATGTCCAGAGAAGGCACACTGTTCACCAGTCTCATCACTCATCATCGCCTTTCTAATGCTCTTTCTTGCCTCTGAGCTTTTGTAAATACTATTCCACTGCCTGGAACATTCCCCCTCTCCCATGCCTTCAGTTGGCTAACTCTAATATACCGTTAGGCCTCTGATTAGAAGTCACTTTCTCCAGTGATTCCTCCTATGTTTGAGGTAGTAATTCTCCTAAGAGCTCCCCTAGCACCTTAGGCATCTCCCAATTCTAGTATTTATTACATTCTATTGCAAGCACCTGCTTACTTGACAACGATTCCCGACTAGACAGAAAAAATTCAATGAGGACAGGAAGTGTGACTACCTTCTCTAGTGCCCAGCAGTGTATGGCCGTGAGTATGTGCTTTACAAATACTTGCTGAATCAACAAATAAATATGTCAAACATAAACGAGGCCCTAATATTATCTTTGGTTTTGGAATAATAAAAATAAAACAATACTAGTCAACCATACTTTGTGGGGGCAGTAGAGTACAACTGTTAAATAGCTGAACTCTGACGTCAGACCACTTATGTTTGAGTCTCAGTCCTGAACTTACTGACTGTGTAATCTTGAGCAATTTACCTAACCTCTCTGTGGCAGACTCCTTTATCTATATGTGGAAATAATAACAGTAATGCCTTCATTGTAAGGATTAAATGAGACACTATGAATAAAGGAGCTAGGTACAGTACCTAGCATACAGCACCTCTCAATAATAGTTATTATCTCATCTGGGGCTTCCAAAAGTATATTTTCTCTGTGAAAAAAGGTTTCATCTGGGGAATCCTGCATATACTTTTCCTCTCAGAAAGGCACAGTGAGGCGGGCACAGTGGCTCACGCCTGTAATCCCAGCACTTTGGGAGGCTGAGGCGGGTAGATCGCTTCAGCTTAGAAGTTTGAGCTTGGACAACATAGTGAACACTATCTCTACAAAAAATACAAAAATTAGCTAGGCATGGTAGCACATGCCTATAGTCCCAGCTACTGGGGAGGCTGAGGTGGTAGGATCACTTGAGCCAGGGAGGCAGAGGTTGCAGTGAGCAGAGATCATGCAACTGTACTCTAGCCTGGATAACAGAGCTAGACCCTGTCTTAAAAAAGAAAGAAAAAAGAAGGAAGGGAGGGAGGGAGGGAGGGAGGAAGGGCACAGTGAGCATGAGAAAAGCGTTCTGAGTTAAGAGCCATCTGTTTCATTGGGTGTCACTCAGCAGTTTCTTGTTTGACAGCTGAACACTTGTTAAAATCCTGCAGTGGTCTCTAAATAACAAAAGCTTTATTTACCGCTCACTTCTGCAGGGTAAGGAAACCCTAGCTTTGAGTTCGCCTCTGGCCTCTACTGGTCACTCCCAGGAGCCAGTGCCATCTAATGTCATGGAATGTCGAGCAGTGCCCTTGCCTTTAAAGATGTGAACATGTTTCCATGAGAGGGAACCTCTATGACTAATAAGACAAACAAGACAATAACCCGTTATGTTTGTACAATGTTTTAAAGTGTAGGAAGCACTTCAAGGCAATCATTCCCTCATCCTCATGACAATCCATGTAGGGCAGAGAGGTCAAGTACTATCATCATTATTGAACAGATGAGGAAACACAGGCTTAAAGAGGTTAGGTGGCCTGCTCAACTTGCAATGCTGGTCAGTGGTAGGCTAGGACTACACTCTAAGCCTGAGTAGCTGCAAGGCCTCTGCTCTAGCTTCTGTACTGTGCAGCTTCTGCCAAAGCCCGCAGGCCCAACCA